CCTGGCAGCACAAGGGGGCAGCTGGCGTGAGTCCTGGAGTCCCAAGGCCACAGAGTCCAGAAGTCTGGGGTCCAGGGGCAGGGGGAGGAGACGGTTCTCCCCAAGCGCCCTGCTCAGCACCATGAGGGCGGGTCCTCCCCGCCTCCATGCTCTCACCCCACACCTGTCTCCTTGGAAACGCCCCCCCCCCAGGCGCACCCAGAAGTAATACGTTAGCAGGTGACACCTACACGGACCACCACGGGTTGGACTACCGAGCTGATCTCCAGGCCGGAGCAGGGCTTTGCAGGTTGAGGTTCTGGCCACGGCTGAGATCCGAGATGCTTGTGGCCTCGGCGTTGAGGGTGGGGCTGCAAGGAGAGGCTCTCGGTGGGCTGTAACCACCTAGCAGGGGCCTGGGTAGAAAGTGCCAAGGCACTGATGCCGAGTGGTTGCGGGCTCCTCTGGGCGCTTGCTGGGACTGGCTCAAACCCTCCGTGCTGGATGCGTGTCTCTGCCTTCCTCCGTCTGCTTTCGGTGACACAGACCAGCTACACTGCTTGTACTGGACCCTGCACCCAAGTCACCTGCTGGAGCCTAGCCTCTGGTGCTGACCTAGGGCCCACACTGAGTAAGAAGGCCTGAGTGAGGTCACAGGCCTGCATGCTACAGGAGCAGTGTCCTTCTCCAAGAAGGGAGAGACGCCACAGCTGTCTGTGTGTAGACACAGTGGGAAAGCAGTCATTGCAAACCAGCAAGAGAGGCCGCACCAGGAACCAAATTTGCCAACGTGTGCATCCTGGACCTTGGCCACCAGAACTGTGAGAGAGAAGACCCAGTGTGTGGCAGCCTGATCCACCACCCTGGTCCCCACCCCACCTGGCCAATCCATAAAACCACTGCCAGGGGCCCCCAGGGCTTTGTGGTCTGGCGACATGCTGCAGAACATGACCCAGCCTCTGGTGCGCCGCCCTTAGCCACTTGGATGGAAGTCAACCCTTCTAGGTGCCTGATCCCTCCTGTCTGTGCAACCGGCCTCCAGCTCTGAGTATTTCACCTCTTCACAGGCACCTGGCGAGGTCAGCAGGAAGCAGCCGGGGGTCCCCGTTTTACAGGTGAACACACTCACAATGACAGCCAGGGTGCCGCAGTGGGCTGCAAAGCCAGTTCCGAGGCCCGGGTCTCCTGTCGCTCAGATCTCCCCGGGAGCTCCTGGCCTGCGCGCTCCTCTGTGCTGTCATCTGGACAGAGCTTTCTGTCCAAAGTGTCTTGGCCAGGCGGTGTGGGCTGCTCCTGCTTTTCCCCCTCGCCGGGCTCCTGCCCCTTCCTTTATCATCCCCACCCCCACTCACACACACACACTCATTCATGGTCATGCCCTGTCTTGGCCCCAGGGAAGCCCTCCCTTTCCCAAAGAGCCTGGGGATGATGGGGGTACCTTGGGGGCCGAGGACAGAGAAGGGAGGAGGAGGGGCTTATGAAGCCCGGGGGATGGGGGCGGCATGGCAACCACACTGTCTCCTGTCTCTAGGAACCACATCCTGCCCGGGGCTCTGGGGGCACAGAGCCCAAGGCGGGTCTGCCCCCCACTAGTCGCAGCAGCTACTCAACACATGGCACGCACATGGCCATGAACTGAAGCCCCTCGTGGAAGTGTGCCCTTCCTCCAGCCTGCTGGTCTGTGTTGAGCTTAAAAAAGAAAAGAAAAAAAATAAAATAAAATGTGCTTGGAACCACACAGGGTTCCTGGGAAGATGTCAACGCTCACACCCCATTGTCCTCCAGCCGCAGCTTGCGTCTCCCGGCTGGTGAGCCCGCAGACAGTTCGCAGTCTGAAGTCGGCCCTATTTTGGGGACCCGGCTATTTGCGGAGGGCCTATTGTTCCCGGCTGCTGAGCAGGCAGGTCTGGGACTGCGGCAGAGCCAAGCCCTCTCCACTCCCTGCCCGAGTTGGATGCTGTTTCCTGCAGCAAGGCCGGGGGCCGTGGGATGGGTGCGGAGCTGAAGCCTCCAGCAGCTTCTGCTGGGCGTGGTCCAAGGCCGGAAAGAGGCTCTATCTTCAGGCTACAGCGGTCGCGAGCCGAGGGCTTCCAGGGGCCGCGGATCATCCAGGGAGGATGGGCGGAAAATGGATGTGAGCCCGAGGCTAAGACACTCCAAGAGGAGCACTGTTGAAGCCAGGCCCACGGGGCCGCCCTGGCCGGGTAGGGGCTGGCCCCGTGCTGGAACACTGAAAAAAGAGGCCCCGCTCTCTGGTCCGGCCATGGCTCAGCGAGAGTGCACCAGGTCCAGGGTCAAGCGAAGGCTCTGACTCCTCTCTGGGCTGATCTCTAGTTACTCAGTTACTCCAAGCGCACTCACAGCCCACCGGTTCTTAGAGTCGCACCGCCGCCTGCACGCACGTGCGCACGTGCGGGGCTGCCGGGCCAATCAAAGCAAAGACGGGCCCGTGGGGGCCGGGCGCAGGGAACGGGCAACACTTGGAGTTGGGACCCAGAGTGAAGAAGGAGCTCCACGGAGGGGGTTGTCACCTGCAGGGCACCTTGCACAACAACGAGGTGTCCTCCAGATGCAGGGGCTGGGGAGGGAACAAAGGCGTCCAGGCAGAGGGAGAGCGGGCTCGTAATGGGACGGGCGAAAGGTCCCAGATGGCTTGAGAACAGGGCGGGCAGAGAGTGGACTGAGCCGTGGTCAGTGGTCAGAGCTCGCCCTGCTGGCTTGCACTCCGCCCAGTCAGGCCTCCCAACTTGCCGGTTCTGCATCCAAGGATTCCAACAGTCACAGACAGAAAATTTTCTGTGCAAGAAAAAATCATGTCTACACTGAATATCTACAGGCTTTGTGTGTGTGTGTGTGGGGGGAGATTATTCCCTCAGTTATTCGGTCAAAAAGCTGTTTCCATAGCACTTACACGGTACTAGGTATTGTTAGTAACGCAGCGTGGATCCGGAGCACACTGGAGACCCGCGGCGAGCTGCAGCGGGTGAAGGCGCCGCGTGGGGGCGCTCACATCCCGGCCGCAGCCCTAACTCGGTCCCTGCTGCTCCGTGCTCTGATCCAGCTGCCTGTGAATGCGCCTGGGAGGCAGCAGGGGCTCAAGTCCTTGAATCCCCGCCATTCACAGGCGTGGGAAGAGCTCCTGGCTCCTGGCTTCATCCCGGCATTGAAGCAGCAGATGGAGGATTCTCTCGATTTCTCACTCTCTCGCGCGCGCCCTCTCTCACTGTGAATTTCATATAAATACAACTTTTTTATAAAGCGTACAGGGGGATGTGTGCAGGTGGTAGGACTCATATACAAATACTCTGCGTTTTTTTTTCTAAAGGACTTGAGCATCGCAGGTTCGCTCTGAGTCCTGGAGCGAATCATCCCAGGGTACCAAGGCGACCCCATGAGGCCAGCCTCCCTCATCCCGAGTAGCCACACCCAGCGGCACTCTGCAGGGTTTGGAGGAACACAGCACTGGGAGGGGAGACAGCCTCCCCTGCCTGTGGCTCGTCCGCGGCTTCTCCCTCCCTCTGCGTCACTTCCTGTCCCGTGACCCGGAAGTGAGTGGTGTGGAGCGTCCAAGCACCACCATCACCCCCGCCCCAAGCCCTTATATGTGACCGATGCCATTTTTCCAGGCCAGCTTGAAACCCTGTTGCGTCTACACTGCACGTACTTCCCCCACAGTTAGCAAATCAGACACGGCCCCAAGAAATCAATGGAAAGAAGGGAGAGCAGGGAGTTTCCTGAGACCCCCGCGCTGGGCATAACCGGGTCCTCCAGGTCGCTCTGCCCATGTACGGTCCTCCCAGCCTTCCCCAGAGGCAGTCAGCCAGACGGGGAAGAGTGCTTGTTCCCAGCCTGCAGGCGTGACCGTGGGCAGGCACCTGGGTGGTCAGCAGGAGGACCCCTTCTCTGGGCAGTGGTCCCCTGGGGACTGCCGGCCGCCTGTTGAGTCACCTTCCGGCTGCAAGGCCAGGGGACACCTCTCCTCTGCAGGCACCGGGCCCTCCCTACTTCACGGTTTGTCTTCAGAGCCTTGCTTTAAAAACAGTCCTGAGAGTAGGGGGCGCTGCTTAGGACACGGACCCCTCTCAGAGTGCCTGGGTCCCAGCGCTGCTCCAGATTCCAGTCTCCTGCTGGCGTAGCGCCCTGGCAGGCAGCAGTGACGGCGTCACTGGCTGGGTCCCTGGTGCCCACATGAGGTGGGTCCCCGCCATCCGTGTGGGAGACCCGGGTGGAGTCCCAGGCTCCTGACTTCAGCCTGACCCAGCCCTGGCTGTTGCAAGTGTTTGGGGAATGGACCAGTGGATGGAGGATCGATCTCTCCCTCTCTCTCTCTCTCTCTCTCTCTCTCTGTGTGTGTGTGTGTGTGTGTGTGTGTGCGTGTCCTGGCTTCCAACTTCAGCCCAGCCCAACCCTGGCCATTGTGGGCATTTGGAGAGTGAACCAGTCAGTGTGCATGTGCTGTCTTTCAAACAAACAAGCAAAAATTTAAGTCATTCCAGGCTGAGGTGAGCTGCAGAGCTGGGGCGGGATCCTGCCCCTCCCGGAGGCCCGTCTTGTACTCTTGATGTCCAGCAGCCGAGGCCGCCATGTCCTGGCGCCACCCACCCTCTCAGATGAGCACCATTCACTGGCATTGAGGACACCATGTGGGGGCCCCTGGGGGGGCACAGTCCGAGCCCAGCACACACGAGACCCAGGGGAGGCAGGGAGCTGCCACTGTGACCCGTTCTGCTGGCTGGGAGGTGGGCTCTGGCACCCCCAGGCAGCTCCTTTGGGACGATCGGGGGAGCCTGGAGGGCCTGGCGCCCACCCCCCCACCCCCACCCCTGGCTGCTTTGTGCAGGAGCCCCGGCCGGCCACCTGTTGTTAATCTAGCCCCGGTAATCCGTTCTGCAGTGTGTCAGCAGTTCAAAAGGGCACTGTTAGTATTTTTTGCCGACTTCAATTAACGTGAGATTTCAGGGGCCCCCTCTGATCACATTTCATCTGTCACAAGTCAGGAACAAAACAGACGGATTCCAGTGGAGAGGAGGAAGGAGAAGGAGTTTATTGCAAACAACAACAACCAAACAATGTGGGCTTTGCCCAGCAAAGGGTGTTCTGGGAGCGTCCGGCTGTGTCTGCTCTTCATGCTGCTCCGGGCCTGGGCCCCTCAGTCCACTTCCCCTCAGGTTCCTCCCCTCCCCAGGGAGATGTAAGTGCAATAACTTACTGTAAAAGGCAAGAACATTTCTTTTAATAGTTTTGCTATAATGTAGTTACATGGTGGTATAGGCAGTTAACACTTTATGGAACCGACCTCAATTTTTTTGTACATTTTTTCTGAAATTTTTCATGTATTTTTCATATATATTTTTTAATATTCCACCCCAGGCCATTAAGCTAAAGGAAAAGTTGCATTTACACAGGGTTAAAATATCTTACAATGAGAACAGTAAGTATTGGTTGAGGTTCATGTTCCTTCTATCACTCAGCTCTCTCTGGCCACACTGCACACCCAGAGTATTAAACGCTGCAAACTGTTCTCCAAAATCAGTAGTATCAAGGCCTAGCTCTATGTTTGGGAGTGAACGGGGGAGAGAGAGGAGAGGGTAGGGCTAGCGATCGCCTTGTTCGATGCCATGAGGGTGTCCAATGGAAACGGCTTTCTCCCTACGACATCCTGCAGGAAGTGGGGTGGACGCGTCTGACACGCAGGGTTTTTGTCGTCCCGTTCTGGCTTGGCCCGCTGATGGTTCCTATCCTGGGGGCCAGGTTGTCAGCTGTCCTCCCCGAGCTGGGCCTGAGCCTCAGGCCGCCCAACGGACCGGGAAGCCCAGAGTTATCTTCCTTGAATTTGGTCTCACCGCCACGCAGCCCCAAGACGGGGTGACCCTGTAAGTGGGGGGAGACGTGGGGACGTGCCTCTCGCCTACCTAGCCAAAATGACAGGAGGGCGGGCACCTGAGCTGGGGCCTGTGTGTGTCACAGCGGTGCACACCGGACAGCCCTGTCACTCTCGCTGCCCCTCCCCCCCCACCTCCTTGCAGTGTCTTGGAACCAACCTGGCCCCAAAGCTGGAGACACACACGGTCATGAGAGCTGAGAATCAAGTATGGTTACAAGAATTCCAGGAAAGTTACAAAAGCCCGTGTCCTCCAGGCGCCATTGGAGACCAGCCCCCCTGTGGCCCCACCCCTGCAGCCCCCTGCGCCCTCATGCCAGGGAGCGGCCAGGGCTCTGGAGGGCGGTAGCAGCACCTTAGTGTTCAGCCCCAACACTGAGACTCATCCCGGCAGGGGCCCACAGCGCTCACCTGCCGGCTACCCACTGCTTCCTCATGGCCCAAGGAAAACCTCACCTCTCTTAGCTTATTCGTTGAGCAGTGAGCCACGTGGCAGGTGGCGTGGCCCTCCAGCGAGCCACACGGCCTTAGCTTAACTTAGCTGGCTTTGCTGATCCAGACCCCAGGGAGGAGCCAAGGTCCTGTGGTTTCTTCCTGAGAGATGGGAGGGAGGTTCTGGGGAGCCGTGCACCTGCTGCTCTGGCCGCCAGGAAAGCCCAGGCCCTCGGAGCGTGGGCAGCAGGACCGGCTCCTCTCCTATCTCTCTCTGCTCACCCTCAGTCACTGGGTCACCCTTCGCCGTGGTGAAGGAGCTAAGGGAGACCCTTGGAGTGGTTCCGCGGGCAGATGGGCCTTGGGGGACAGGTGGTCGCCTTGGCGAGAGGAGCAGGGACGTTGTAGGCGCTTCTCAGCTGTGCCGCGACCCCGGCCACGGAGCCTTCTCCTAACAGAAGCCTTTTCCTCTCAAGCTTTTGGGTCGAAATGTGCCTGGTTTGGGTCTAGCCCAGCCACCGGACACAGGCATGGAGGCCAGGGGCCCCTTCCAGAAGAACCCAGCCACAGCCAGTTTGCTTCTGGAGCCGCCCTGGCTCCCTTCTCTCTGGGGGAAACGTGGCCCCTGCCCCTCCCCAGCCACTGAGAGCGGCTGAGGAGAAAATGGGGTACGGTTCCCGCCTCCAGTCCGTCCTTGCCCTCGCTGAGTTTGGGGGGGGGTTCTGAGCTCTCTCAGAGAACCTCAGAACGGGGAAGGGGCTTCCTCAATGCCACCCCCAGTTCTTCAAACATTTGACACTCCACGCCGAGCCTTCAAGAACACTTCATTCAATGCCCAAGACCCTGCTCACCACGCTAAGATGGGTTCGACAGCTCGGACCGCAAAAGGGTCTCTTGTGAAAAGTAGACACGAGTAAGCGAGGGGGACAGGGGTTCCTGGCACCCACCCCCACCCACCGAGACCCTGGGCAGCTCCAGGGCAGGGCTCTCACTCGTCAATGTCAAGGTTTCTCTCAGCTCAAGCCAGGAACCCACTCTGTGTCCCGGCCCTGAGCCTAGCGGGGCTGGCACTCCTCACGGGCAGCAAGCAAGGCATAAGGTAGAAAGGGAAGTGCTGTTGGCCGGGGACTCCCTGCTGGCAGGTCCTGCTTTGGGGACGGTCACTGTGTGCCATCAGCTTAGCTGATGGGCTGGGGCCAGGTGCCAAACCCCAGCAGCAGGTGTCAAGTTCAGGCAGACAGGGGACCCCTCCCACCCCAACCTCAACCCTTGGACAGGTGGGAAGTCTGGCTTTCAGGGATGCATCCTGCCATGGAGACAGCGACCCACGGGAGCTCACGAGGCCAGAGAGACAGGCTGTATTCTGACGCCCTGGGGATAAGACAGGTAAGGGCAGGGCAGGCTGGAAGGCAACAGGGGGAGGAACGCGGAGTCCCCACGCATCCCCACCTGTGAGAGTGGCCAGTGGGCAGCCACGGAAGGGCCCTGAGCCTGGCCACGCAGCTTCTGCGCTGCTCCTAACCCTCTGCTGCCGTGGCCTGAAGCCAGAGCTTCAGTGTTCGGGGTCCAGGACACGGAGATGCGGCCCACAGGGGCCAGTGCAGGACCAGGAAGGGAGAAGCACCTGCAGGTCTTCCTGGAGGGGCCCTGAGGGGGCTCCAGCCCCGAGCGGACGAGCGGACGGAGAACAAAGCAGCCCAGCTCCTGCCCACCAGCAACAGTAGCCTGGCGGGGCGTGGAGGGGGGTCGGGTGTGTTCTTGGTTCCTCCCCTGCAATGTCCACTCAGAGTTGTCACCGAGGAGTCGCCCCTGGGGCCGCAGTGCTGGGTGGCCGCGGGCTCCTCAGCCTCCCACGCCTCTCCTCTGCCACCCACTCCTCCAGGGGACCCAGCACCCAGACGGCCAGCAGCACTGTGTGTGCTCTCGGGAAGAAAGGACCATGGGGGCTGCAGCTGACCCCGCAGGGCTGACACAGCCACCGGCCTGGTGACCAGGGGTCCCACAGAATGGGAACGTGTGGACAAGACAGGGCTGTCCCGGCTGCTGGTCTGGGCGGGAACCTAACTTTGACTCAAGGTCAAATTCAGCAGGGCGGGAGTGAGGGGGGAGGGGTTGGGCAGAAGGGCCTTACAGTGGATGTAAAGTTGCAAAAAGGGGCCTCCTGGCTTTCTCTACTGCCTTCGCCAGGGAGGGGCCGGCACCTGCTGCCCCCTCCCTCCCAGCGGTCCACGGGGCCTCTGACTTGGGGCGGCCGAAAGTGCTGTGGGTCAGGCCCCTGGGCCAGGCCAGGTTCCTAAAAGGAAAGTTGAGTGGGGGAGGGCTGGGGGCCTGGAAAGCATGGGCGTGGCCACAGCCCCGAGGCCGGGGAGGGCAGGGCATGGGGCAGCGGGGGCCCTGTCATGTGGCCCAGGAGATGGCCGCACTGTGCTCCTTGGCCTTCATGCGCAGAGCCGCGATGCTGGAGGTCTTGCGATCCGGCTCGCCGTTCAGCTCGTAGCCGTTGAGGCCTGGGCTGAGGCCTGCCGCTCCAAACAGGCTGCCCATGTGCGTCTGGGCCACGTGACCGCCAGCCCCAGAAACACTCAGGAAGTCGGTGACGCTGCTGGCCCCAGAGCCAGGCGGATGGGCGTGAGGGGACATGCAGGCAGGCACCGGGTCACAGGGGACCACACAGGCTGGCACTGGGGACGCAGCCCCGTTGTTGCCGATCCAGGACGGGTTCTGAATCTGGGGAGAGTGAAGAGACAGGTGTCAGGCCCGCTGCAGGAGGGCGGGGTGGGAGGGGTCTAGCTCCCTGCCCGAGGCCATGCTCATAATGAAAACATGCTTGTGGCATAGCGGGTAAAGCCACCACCTGCAGTGCTCACAACCCCTATGGGTGCCGGTTTAAGTCCTGGCTGCTCCACTTCTGATCCAGCTCTCTGCTGTGGCCTGGGAAAGCAGTGGAGGATGGCCCAAGTCCTTGGGGCCCTGCACCCACATGGGAGACCCAGAAGAAGCTCCTGGCTTTGGACTGGTGCAGCTCCAACCATTGAGGCCAATTGGAGAGTGAACCAGCAGATGGAAGACTGACCTCTCTCTCTCTCTCTCTTTCTCTCTCTGCCTCTCCTTCTCTCTGTGTGTAACAGACTTTCAAATAAATACATAAAATCTTATTTAAAAAAAAAATGCTTGAGTGTTGAACCTTGACGGACAACACCAAGACGCCCACCCACAGGGGAAGTGGGATCACGCAATGGATCCTGGTCCCAGGGCCAGGCCAGCAGCAGATAGTGAGTTAGTCATAAGCATTGAACTTGACTTCAGCAGGACTGGTTAAAGGGCTGGCTGATGGCCCAGTCCCCTCAGCCCAGCAGGTGTCCCCATTCGGATGCCCTGTAGGCTTGGTCTCTCCACCCGTGGACAGTGGCTGTGTCTCCCTCATCTCCCAAGGGCACCTGAGGAAGGTGAGATGATCTCAACTCACAGAGCTCTGGCGTCCAGAGCAAAGCCCTGGGCTCCAGGTTTGTGGGTGGGAAGCAGGGGGCCTAACTCCTCCCAGAAGCTAAGGTCAATGGCTGAGCTTCTGGGACAACACTGAGGCTGGAGAACTGAGGGTGGAAGGGGCTGCCTCAGAAGGCGACAGAAGGATGGACGGCTACAGGCCCTGGGGAGGCCGAGGGTGGACGGCCACAGGCCCCGGGGAAGCCGAGGGTGGACGGCCACAGGCCCCGGGGAGGCCGAGGGTGGACGGCCACAGGCCCCGGGGAGGCTGAGGGTAGCCAGGCACACATTATCTTCCATCCGGGCAACTGCCATCCCTTCCCTCACCAGCGTCACATTGTGGTGCCGCCCAAGTGTTTCACAGGAGGTGGACACGGGGCATGGAGGACGAGACCCTGCGTGTCTTAGCTATGCACATGGGGGTCTCAGTGGCCTCAAGCAGGCTTCTGCTGGCCTGGCCTGCCCTCTGGCCACCCCAGATCCTGAGGGTCATCTAATGGTTGGCAGACTGGCCATGCCACGTGTACCCCCTGGGCTCAGGCCACTGGGAGCTGGTGGGTGCCTCACTACTGTGGCTTACAAGAGGCCTGGGATTGGCCATCTGTGATAGGAGGGTGAGGGGGGCTCTGGATCTCAGGCAGCAGCGACAAGGCCAAGGAGATAGGATGAGAATTCAGTCCTCTAGGGACCCAGGGAGGCTGGGTTTGTGGGTTGGGGAGGGGGAGGGGGAGGGGCTGGAGCTGCTGCAGACAGCGCTTGTAGAAAGAGCCCACCTTGCTCAGCCGCACCTCCCACCAGCCCTGGCTGTAAATCCTGAGGTCGTGGAGGAAGGTGCAGAGCTGGTCCGGGTGCGAGCCCAGACGCCCATCGCTAGCCGGGCACCGAGAGAGGCAGGAAGGAGAGAGAGGGCTTCCCGTGCGGCTCGCGGGCTGCCTGCGGGGAGGGGCCAGGCTTGGCGCCTCTGCTGCGGGGGTCTGAGGGCCGTCAGGAGTGGGCTTGGCCGAGAACGCAGCTCTGCAGGGGCCTCCTCGTCCCTCGGCACCTCGCCGAGCACTGCAGGACGCTGCTGGCACCTGGGAAGATGCAGCAGGAGGGCGGGTGGTGCACACAGAAGCCGGGGAGAGCCCAGCGCCTGCAAACCACCTCTGCGACCGTGCAGTTCTCGGGCGAGTCCTGGCAGTCTCCTTACCATCAGCAGCTTACAAAAGAGCTGGGGTGGATACCTCCATGGTGCCCAGTTTCCAGGTGGAGAAACTGAGGCTCAGACAGCTGGACACTTGCGTGAGGTGAGAAAGGCCTGGGGCTCGGAGGGACCTCAACCTAGGGACTTGGATTTCCATCTCTCTCTCTCTCTCTCTCTCTCTCCCCCTCCCTCCCTCTCAAATAAAAAGAAATAAAATAAAGGGAGCTTCCTGTTAATGCACAGCCTGGAAGAGTGTACCAGGGCCCCTGCCACCCACATAGGAGACCCAGATGGAGTTCTTGGCTCCTGACATCAGCCTGGCCCAGCCTCAGCCATGTGGGCATTTGGGGAGTGAACCAGAAGATGGAAGCTCTCTCTCTCTCGCTCTCTCTCTCTCTCTCTCTCTGCCTCTGCCTTTCAAAGAAATAAAAAAAAAAAAAAATACCATTCCATGTTCATCTTCACCTGGCCACGAGCCTTCCAAATTTCACAACTCTTTTTCCCAGGGGCCACTGCGAGTGAGAGCTGGTAGCCTGCAGCCCCGGGCCTTCCACCCGCCCCGGTCCTGATGCCACAGCTTTGGCTTGGGTGTCCCCCAGAGGGCCACAATGAAAGGCGCAGTCCCCAGAGTGGCACAGTGAGGAGGGGTTGGGAGGTCCCTGGGTCATTGGGGGCGTGCCCTTGGAAGGGACTGGGGGACCCCAGTCTCCCTCCAGCTTGCCATTGGGTGCCATAAGCTCTTCCCCATACACGTGTTCCCGCCATGGTGTGTTACTACCAGCTGCCCTCACTGCACCCCAGACCAAGGGGCCAGCCCATCTTGGATGCTGTTCCCCCAAAGCTGTGAGTTCAAGACCTCTTTTTCTCTTTAGAGTTTGCTGCCTCGAGTCTTCTGTTACAGTGATGGAAAGCTGAGCTGGGGCAGGGGCCAAGGAGGCAGGGGAAAAAGGGGCTCTCACTGTCCCCACCGTCCCTTCCCTGAGCCCAGCCAAATCTTGGACAATGATGATGATGTGATGGGCAGAAGGAGCTCTGAGCCACCCACACTGAGCTGGAAACAGGCACACACTTGGAATGTGGCTCAGGGGCAGCCATCTCCATGGACTTGGCTGCTCCCAGGGCCCGTTCTCAGAGTGCCCGGGGCTGGGGAACAAAGGGGCCATGGCAGTGACTTACCTGTGCATAGTTCTCAGCGCGGGTGAGGAGGGGAAGCTCGTAGGCTGTGGAGAAGTGGGTTCGAACCTGTTGCATCTGCCCAAAGCGCTCCCTCTTCCTCCACTTGGCTCGGCGGTTCTGGAACCAGACCTGCAGGACAAGGTGGCCGACACAGGGGTCAGGCCATGCACATCGCCCCCTTTGAGCGCCCACTGGGCCCAGTTGTTGGTGTGTCGGGCTGCAGGGCCACAGGTAAGGTTACCCTCTGCCTGTGTCTCGCAGAGCTTTCTGTCTGGAAGCATCGACACTGGGCTGGAAAAGCAGCCTGGTATTGGGCTAGAAACTGTTTTCCTGCTTCAAAACCTACAGCAGGCAAGCATTACACACACAAGACCCGTCACTAGTCATCTCGCTAGCAACCATCTAACCAAGCTCAGCATTAGGGTGCCGGATCCTCAGAGGGCCACAGGCTCCCTGGGCAACCCAAGGACAGCTGTGACGGTCACACGGGGCTTCCAGGAGGCTCGGTCCAGCACTTGAGGGTCTTGACCTCCCCCCATCCTCTCTGCAGCCTTCTTGTGGGAAACAGAGTCTCCCAGCTCTAAACCTTGACATGTGTAAGCAGGGGGAAGCCCTTGTGGAATAAGAGGGGCTTTTCTGGGGAAGAGGGTCAATCAGGGAAGGCCTCCTGGGGAAGAGGACCAGAGCTGGGCCCTGAGTGGTCAGTGGGAAGGAGCAAAGCCCAGGCCTGGATTTAGAAGCAGCAACGCGGGTCTGGAAGACAGGGGAGGCCAGGGCAGGGGAAGCAGTGGGATATAAGGAAGCCAGGAGGCTGAAGCTGGGTCTTGGAGGCCCTTGAATGACAAGAGAGGGGCTTGCCCTTGGCTGTGTAAGATCTCCTGCAGGGGGGTGGCCTGGTGCCAAGGGATGGCGGAAGCCCACCCACCACTGGGCGTGGGGTGGGCAGGGGACACTGGTTTGCCTGGAGACTTGGCTGGAGAGGGGACAGCTCCTTGGTGGGCAGTGTTGGGTCCTTTTCCTCTGCAGGAACATTTCTAGGGACAAGAGCCCTTGGGGTCTGCTCCCCTTGGCCCGTGACTTGGATGCAGACACAGGTGCCAAATGCTGCCCCCGCTGTCTGGGTGAAAATGCTCCCATGCCTACCGTGAGCAGCAGTAGCAGGAGCCATGCAGCCCGACCCCTCTGCGTGGGAGCAGCCGAGCCTCTCCCAGGAACCACTGTTTGGAGGGAGAAGGCCGATTGGCCTTGGAGGGAAGCTGACCAATAGGCTCCGGGGAGCAATGGTCTCAGTTTCTGCATCAGTCAAATGGGACTGACATCTTTACAGGCACAGGGATGACGCCTCTCATGCCAGCAGCAGGGGAGATGATGGGAAATTCTGCCACCGGGTCTTTAGAATACTCCGTATTTGTTTACCTTCTGCTCCTGACCTTTCTCGCTGTCTTTTTCTAGAGGGGAGAGGTCAAAAGGTCAAGGGATATGGGTCTCATGTTAGTGCAGGAGCAGAGAAGAGATGCTATCCCCACTCCTCATTCTGCTCCAACTCGATTTCCCCGTCCTAGCTCAGGTACACAAGCGTGCGTGCTCCGGGCACCGTGCGTGCGTGTCCACGCACTCCTCCCGTGCACTGCACCACTTGGTTCTGAGTTCCTCCACTTCTCCATCTGCACCGTGGTGTGGGAGAATGGCTCTTCCTGCGTCCTCCATGGAGACCGGCTTCCTCTGGGCTGGGCGGGGGGATGGGGGGTGGGGGTGGGTCTCAGCCCTGCCCCTGAACCTCCAGGCCCAGGCTTCCCACTGGGAGCTAAGGGCCCAGGGGGTCTCCCCTCTGTACTGCTGAAACGGGATCCCCCTTTATCAGTGGCCTGGGCTGGGGGGCTGGGGGCAGGAAGAGAGAATGAATCAGAGGAGCTTGTTTTCATTTCATGTTTAATTTCCTGCAGGCTTAGCTCAGTCTTTCTGCTCCTGCCTCAGCCTCCCAGGGTTTGCTGTGGGGGGAGCTGAGAAGGGGGAAGGAGAGGGGGAGGAGGGCAGCCCACTGGAGGGAGACATCCTTGGCTCCTCTCTGGCTCTGGGGATGGAGCAAGTCCAGTCTCTTGTTGCTGGGGGCTCCCCAGTGACTGTGGGTTCTAGGTGGCTGTCGCAGTCAAGGGAATGTGGAGGTGGGACAGGGACCCAGGGCCGGGCTGGAGGGACCCAAGGGCAGAAGGAGAGGCCAGTGCCCATCAGGGGGTCTAGAAGTGCAGGGAGGCATGTGGGGCTGAGCGAGAGGGCGACAGGGCGCAGTGTCCGGGGGCAGGGGGCAGGCCGGAAGCTTCAGTGGAGGGCTCTCGGTGGAGATGGTTAGGAGGTGGGCAGTGGCGAGGGCCATGCAGGCCTACTGCTCCCATGGGTCCGTCTCTCTCTGGGCCTTACCCTGTGTGCAAGGCCCCAGTTTCAGCTGTGACTTTTGCAACCCGGTCAAGGCTTGAGCACAGACAGCCTGGCCGGTCGGCAGAATCCTCACCCCTAACCCAGGAGGCGCCAGGGCCACCCTCACAGGTGCTTACTGGCTCGCACCCACAGCTCCCGAGGCATGGCACACCCTTTCCTACCCGACCCAAGCGCTGCCGTGTCTCGGGACCCATCTCTGCGGTGCAACCCCTGGAAGGGGAGCTCACTGCCAGGTCCCAGTCGCGCCCCAGGACCACCCCGCTCCTGGCCACCCCGGCCCGGCCTCACTCAGCACAGGCCTCTCCCGAGGACCCGGCTGTGCAAGGAACCAACTGTCTTGGCGGAGGCCCCCTAACCGCAGCCCATCTGGGGCCGGGGCGGGGTGGCCTAGGGCGGGGAGGCCTCTGTCTTATTGTCTTCAGACACCAGCTGTGGTGATTGGAATCCCAGACAGCAGAGAGAGGCCCCTACAGCCCCCGGAGCAGGGCCAAACCCCAGGCTTCTTCCCAGGAAACGTCCGTCTTGGGACTCCTGTCGCTCCCTCCCTGTCCCCACTGCCACTCCACGCCAGGCACCTAGCTTTGCCACCAGCTGAGTGTGAGCGCTGAACAAAGTCTGCAGAGCCAGGCAGGGGGTTCCATCTCAGCCCCACCCCCTAGGGCACTGCCAGGCTCAGGGCTCAACCCAGAGGTCTGACGCACACGACGATCCCACCCACCCTGCTGCCGTTATACAAAGAAAAAGACTCGAAACAATCTGGCACGAGTCCCGGGCCAGCAAACCGAAGGCAAAGAAGCACCGGACTGGAACCCAGGAGGCCTCGATGCCAGGGTCCCCACTGGTACTGGGTCCCGGCCGACTCTGGGTGACCAGGTCCCACCTCGGGGCCTCTTCCACCTCGGCTGTCAGAGGAGATGGAGCGACCTGTACCCACAGTACCATTCTGTGAGTCTATGGCCTTCCCATTAGACAATAAAACATGCGACCCATCAGGGTTTCCCTTTCTGCCTTGGTTGCCAGGAAGCTCAGGGTTGATGATCCTTAGCCTAGAGTTTTTGACATCATGACCTCTCTATTTCAGCACATAATTCTATTCTTACATTAAAACATTAAAATAAAAGCTTTGGAGCCAGCGTTGTGGTGCAGCAGGTTAAGCTGCCGCTGGCAATGCCAACATCCTACGTCAGAGCGCTGGTGCCAGTCGCAGGTGCTCCGCTTCTGATCCAGCTCCCTGCTAACGCTCCTGGGAAAGCAGCAGGAGGTGGTCGAGGTATTTGGGTCCCTGCCACTCATGTGGGAGATTCAGATAGAGCCCCCGACTCCTGCCTTCAGCCTGGTGCAGGCCCAGCCATTGCAGCCATTTGGGGAATGAACCAATGAGTGGAAGATCTCTCTCTCTCTCTCTCTCTCTCTCTCTCTTTTCCTTTCAAATATATAAAATAGCTCTTAAAAACATGAAATAACAAATGTTTACTTGTAAGTGGTCTCAGCTGTTTTTGAAGTAGGCCTAAGAGTGTGTGTGCCTAAGTAGGCCTAAGTGTGTGTGTGCGCGTGCGTGTGTGTGTGTGTGCGCGCATGCGTGTGTATGTGTGTGTGCGCGTGCGTGTGTATGTGTGTGCAGAGGCAACACTCCGCCTTTGCTGTGGGGCAGCATCTCAGCATCGTCTCTCTGTTTTTACTGAAGAGGTCATCGTCCTTTTACTGCACAGGGAGTCCTGACGCTGGGTACCATGCGACAGACGCACACGCGACAGAAGAGTGGCTTTTCCCACCTCAACACAGCACCTCCAGGAGCGTCCCAGACTTCATCAGCGGCCCCCTTTCTCCGCTGTTGCAAGAGCTCCGCCTCCATTGTGCAGCTGGAGGGCAGGGTCGGAGGCGCTGGCTGTGCTACCTGGAAGGCGGAGCTTGGCGTTTGCCCCGCTAAGCGGCAGCTCCAGCTTCCGTGGGCGGCTTCTGTCACATGTGCTTTAGCTACTCAGTGGCCTCTGCTTTCCTCCTGGCTCTCTGGCCCAAGGAGGTCTGAGGGTCTACGCATACTTATTCTTTGCTTTGATCTCCTCTAATTGGTGGGAATACGGTGACAATCAGCGCGTGCGCTTGGGAAGCTCACCTTCTAGAAGGAGCAGACAAAATAATTTTGCCAGGCACAAATTCTAGCAACAAGACCGAATAGGGTCACGTGATAGCAGGTGGCCTGCTTGTGCTGTGTGGTGCTGGTTGAAGCTATTTTGCGTTGCACTGCATCAAGTTGGGTTGGGTTCCAGGGTGTTGGGTTGGGTTGCGCTGAGTGAGCCGTGTTGGGCTCTGCTGTGTTGTGCTGGGTTAGGTGCTGCTGGTTGAGTGTGGGGATGGGGGCTCCTGCTTTAGCCGCTGTGGTCAGGGAGACTCAGAGGATGCACGCTGAGTTGGGGGCTGACAGATGGCAGAAGGGGCAGCCATCCCAGGCAAAGGGACGACGGGGCCACTTCTGCTTCTGCCAGGGGGTCGCCGCAGACGCCTTTATGTTTGACCCGTGTCCTGCCCCAGACTAGGACTTCCAGTAGCTCATGAGAGGGCCCAGAATCTCATACCCAGTGGGGTCTGGAAGCCCAGGTGGCCGGCGTCCTGCCCCTCAACCCGAGGCACCCTCCCCCGCCCCGGTAGAGAAGCCCGATGGGAAAGTGGATACAGGTAGAGAGGCTATGGCTGGGGGCAGGGGCACAGCGAGCAGGCGGGGCACCTCCCCACCCCGGCTCCGCCCGTCCGGCCCAGGGAGGCCCCAGCCCCAGGCGGCCCTCACTGACCTGCACGCGGGCCTCGGTGAGGTCCGTCCTCATGGCCAGCTGCTCGCGCGCGTACACGTCCGGGTAGTGCGTTTTCTGGAAGACCTTTTCCAGTTCCTCCAGCTGGTAGCTGGTGAAGGTGGTGCGGTTCCGCCGCTTCTTGCCCTTGTTGCTCTCCGAGTCGGCCTTCTCCAGCGGGCTCGGGAGGTCGGCGCTGGCCCGCTCCTGGGGCGCCTTCACGCCAGCCTCCTTCCCGCTGAGGTAGCTGCTGTCCATCCCCACGGGGTCCGAGTCCGGCGGTAACTCTGGCTCGCCCAGGGAGCTCTCCTTGGCTGGGGGGGTGGGGAAGGACAAGGTCAGAAACAACACTGCACCAAGCGAGAGGGGGCAGGGTACTGGGGGACTCCAGTCCCCACCCTCCTCCTCCCAGAAGCACAGTGGAGGGGAAGTTGGGAGACTTTGCTTCTAGTCCTGCGTGGGCAAGTCCTGCTCGGAGCTTCCCTGCCCGCATCCCTGCCGTGGGACTCCTGCTTGGCCAACTTGACTTCCATCACCTTTGACCCCACCCCTGGGTTCCACAGGAGCTGTGGCGCCTCTGCCCCAGGTGTTAGGGGTCACCTCCCCTCGCCCTTCAGCCTCCCCTCCCCCCCACTGCTGTCACCTCCTGTCCACACAAGGGTCGTCCTTTCTTGGGGCGGGACAGCTTTGAGGGTCGCCGTGCCCTTGACAAACAGGCTCCTGCCCGCTCTATCCTTGTGACCTGGCTGCTGCCATCCGGGGCCACTGCTGTGTGACGTCATGGGGTGCCCCAGAAGCTCAGGGCTGGAAGGAACTCACCATCCACCCATGCAGGTGGTGGATGAGGAGGTGGAGCCCGCGTGGAGGGGGCAGGAAGTAGCGCGTCTGTGTCCGATAGCTCAGCCAGCATCCTAGGCAGACTAGCCCCCCAGGGCATGGACTTTGCAGCCCGCCCCAAGGCATCCTGTACCGAGGACTCGCTAGCTCTCTGCTTCGGGCAGAGTTCATTTAATCACCCCGGGCCTCAGTGTCCCCCTCCAGAAAATGGGAGTGAAAAGACCTGTGGGATTTTCCCCATTAGGGCAGTAGTGAGCAGCAAAGAGGTTAGCAAGGAAGGCACTCAGCATAGCACTGGCTGTGTAGGTAACTCCCAGTCCCCGTGTGGATTCGCAGGCCTGGGGCCCCGGGAGGACCAGCTACCTCCGACCCGGGGAAGTTCCCCGAATGTGGGGGTCTCTGCATCCCGGAGCCCAGGCCGGGCACCCATGAGCACCACGGGGAGCGCACCCACCGCGGTGTCTGGAGTGCAGGCGTGAGGCCCTCTCTCGCCACACTCCCTTGTCTGTGACGTGGGGAAAGGGAACCTTGGGGAGCTAGAGGAAGCAGCTGATGAATGAGGCACCTGGGGAACACGGGACAAGGCCTGTCCCACGCACAGGTTCCCATCATCACAGCAAGCATGGCGGGCAGGTCCCAGGGCAGCTGAGAGGGACAACTGGCTGTGACATTATCATCCCCTCTCCAGGACACCGAGCAGAGAGAGGAGAGGTGTTTCCCGAGGAGGGTGCAGAGGCCACGGGGTCATGTGTGTGTGTGAGAGAGAGAACAGCCGGGACATCACACATGACACCACATGAGTCCAGGCACACGCATGCGCACGTACACCCACACACAGACACACGGACAGGCACACAGGCACACTCGGCCACAGCTTCAGTGACAGCATTATGCAAACTGCAGCTGGTAGCTGTGCCAAGAGCTTTCAGCAAAGATATTTATCTTCCTGGCAGACAAATAAGTTTTATGTTTTGGGTTTTTTTTTTTTTTTTAAGGAAATAAATCCCACCCAGCTTCACCAAAAATAAACAACCCTGTTATGCAACTTCCTGGAGGCCAGACCGCGGTGGGTGCGGGGTGGGCAGCCCCTGCCCCCTCCTGCCCCAGCACTGGCTCCTGGGCCCCCTCTTGTAACCGTGTGCGCGGCGCGGTGCGGCACTGGGCAGGGGGAGCTCCAAGCTGCAGGAACCGCAGGTCGGTGGGGACCCGCTCCGACTCCTGCCTTCAACTAAGGAGAAAAAATCTAGAGACAGGAAGGACCCTGCCCTGACTTCCCGCAGAGCACCAGCCCCTGCGGCCCTGGCCTGCGGGCTTGAGCCCCATTCCCAGGGTCACGGGCACGGGCAGAAGATCCCCAGGGAGCAGGGAAGAGGGCCCTGGCATCACCACAGGAACTGCGCTGCGGCCTCCCACCCCCTCCCCATCCTGAGGCTGGGCCCCATTTAGACAACCAGGGAGAGCTCGGCTGGTCTGAGCGACAGGCCAGGGCCCTCGGGGGCTCAGCTGAGACCCCGGATGTAGTGGTCGGTTCCAGCCTCCCGCCGCCTGGCCGCGTCCCCGCTGGGGGACGGTTCTCCAGCTTCCGGCACAGCGGGACTGTTGTTCCCGAGACCCAGGCCTTCCCCGTCGCCCCCGGGCCTGGGCTACACCCCCAGGGCCCTTCCTCAGGCAGCCCCATGGCCCTGGGAGCCAGGGCCACACCTCTCAGCATCTGCGTGCCTTCTAAGGAGCTGCCGTGGTCCCCACTGCTGTCCTGCCTGTTTGAGACAGATGAGGGCTGGCCCCACACAAACCTAGTACACTGTTCCCCACCTGGACTGCTCCCCCAGGGGCCTGCACAGGGGCTTGTGTCAGGATCCAGCTCGCCCTGCAGAGTCCGTCTCAATATTACGGTCACCATGAGGCTGGGTCACTCCAGAGCAAAGGAACCCACAGACCACCTTGGTTTCCCCAAGCCCCCAGCGCCAGCCATCAGCCTAAAATATCCGTTCTTTGCAGCTGGCTTCCAAGATCGGTCAAGCACCAGCTCCTCCAGGCAGCCCTCCCAGACTGCGACTGTCCTCTGCCCTGTCTCAGCCTCCCCAGTCATCACCTGTGTTTGCCAACCAGCACCTGATCAAGCTGTGGGTGTCCAGTTCTGTCTGCAGGATGTCACCTGCCTAGAACCGGGGCCTCCGGTCATTTGCCCCTTCTCAGCTCACAGCTTAGCGTAAGACGGGGCAGACAGCAGAGCTGCCCTAAGAGGTTGCCCAGGAGTAAATGAGCGAGTCCTAGCAAGCCTCACTGACCGGCTGTGTTTATGGACCTACTGTGTGCCAGTGCTCTGCAGCGTGCGGGCTGAACCGGTTGAATGAACCGATGAACCTGCTTCCTGGGGAGGCTCCTGGTGGGCAGGGCGCAGCAAAGACGGCCATGCAAAACCCAGCGCCGCCTTGCAAGGCCGACAGCTCGCGTGGCGGAGGTGACACCTCCACGCAAGGAAACAGGGAGAGCCCGGGAGCAAGGAGGCAGGAGAGTCGCAGGGGAGGCGCTAAAAGGTAGGCCACCGTCCTGGACGCCCAGGGCAGGGCCCGCCGGGAACCCACCGAGCTGCTGGGAGACAGCAGCGTGGCGGGCTGTCGGGCAGGCTTTCCTCAGGGCTCGGGGCTTCCAGAGCTTGCGGAGGGCGCGTGGGGGCAGGTCACCCTGTGAGACAGCGTCATCGCCATCCCCCATCCTCCGGGGAACAGCTCCCGTGGGGACTGGGGACTAGCTCTGTGCTGCTGCCCCTCCCACGGCGGGTGGCGGGGAACCTGGAGGGGTTTATCCCAGGGCCAAGGCTGAGGGGTCCCAAACTACAGAATTCCCATCTGCAACTTCCCCAGTCTTTTTAAATTTTTTTAAGTATTTTTTTTAAAGATTTATTTTATTTATTTGAAAGACAAAGTTACAGAAAGAGGTAGAGACAGAGAGAGAGGTCTTCCATCTTCTGGTTCACTCCCCAATTGGCCACAATGGCCAGAGCTGCGCCGATCTGAAGCCAGGAGCCAGGAGTTTCTTCTGGGTCTCCCATGTGGGTGCAGGGGCCCAAGGACTTGTGCCATCTTCCACTGCTTTCCCAGGCCATAGCAGGGAGCTGGATCAGAAGGGGAGCAGCTGGGACTAGAACCGGTGCCCATATGGGATGCCGGCGCCTCGGGCCAGGGTGTTAACCTGCTGCACCACAGCGCCAGCCCCTAATAATTTATTATTTTTTTTTAAAGGCAGAGATACAAAGAGAAGGGGTTGCTGGGTAAGCGGAGGAAAACCCTTTCTTACTTCCCTGGACCCTCCCACTCACCCTGGTGCCACCGAGTGGCATGGCGGGCTCGGTTCGCCTCCAGGCAGGCAAGCAGGGGAGCTGAGATCGAAGGAGAATGAACGCCTAGAGCCGTCCAGAGTGAGAGAGCACTGGTGGCCTCCGTGTGCGCCTTCCCGCCGTGCGCATGGACGGGCGCCCCAGGGCACGTGGCCTGAGTCTGCCTCCAGAAATGGGTACAGGGACCATGCGTGCGGTGGCTTGTGGGCAGGTTTGTGGACGAGGTGTGCATGCTGGCCTGGTCAAGTGCAGGCTCACGGGTGGGCTGGGGTGCCTGCAGGCGTACATGCAGCTGAGTGTGTGTGTGCGAGTATCCATACCTGCAGAGACAGGTGTGGATCTGGACATGGGTGACGTGTGTGTGTATGTGTGTGTGTGTGTGCCCAGGCCGTGCATAAGGAGTGGGTGGCTAAGGGGGCTGAGTAATTTTATCCCCCATGGTTTTGATTACATCTATTTTCCCTTCAAACATCTGCTTTGCGGGGGACATGCCGCTCGCTCTGTTCTCAGCGAGCCGGCCCCACACACCCCGTGGCGGCGCGCACAGCACCGATATGATCTCCTTAAACTAAACAGGCCAGCATGGGGCCCTTTCATGCCATTTAAAGGGCACTGACTAAACCCACTGCTGTCCAAACAGTCGGGCGGGGGTGGGGCGGAGGTTAAAGGTGAGCCATTGATCATGTCCCCACCCCACCTCATCTGCCTCTTCGATGTCCCTACTTTAGCTCAGGGCTCTGCAGATAATGCTGGAACTAGATGATGTTGCAACAAGTGTGCACGGAGCCCATCTGGGGGCCCTGGGTTGAGCGGAACGGTGTCAGCCCTCCAGGGGTGACAGTCTACAGAGGAGGGTCGGGTGTGAGTGCTGGGGCTCAGGCCAGCCACTCCGAAGCTGGCGTGGGCACACCTGTCCACCAACACCCACCAACCGGACAAGCAAAGCGTGCGACACTGCCCGGCCCCCAGCAGGCGAAGGAGGGAAGGGGGTCTAAGTGGAACCGGGGACAGCTGAGGGGCAGCAGGGAAAACCAAGGACATCCAGAGAGGCGTGGAGCTCAGTTCATAGCAATGTGATTTTTTAAAAAAATGGGCAAAATATTTGAACACAGAGCGCAGCAAGCAGATAAGCATGAGATG